GTTCGCTTATCAGTGGTGAATCAGTTAAAAAGAAAAAGTGGGTGTCCCCCTTGATATCCCTTTCTTTGACACATCTCTGAAAATAATTGACCAAGGTTCAAGAGGCAGGGAAACTCACCCCCTGCCCCTCCACTTTTTTCCTCCATCCCTGGCAGCGCAAAAAGGGTAGAAGGATTTTCCCAGACACAACCACACTCATCCAGCCATTCCTGTATTGATATTTATTTTCAATTTAGTTGCTAAATTTTGATCCCAGTCTATTTGCTTGCGTGTTTCAATTGACCTGCAGAAGAAATGATACTCCGAGACTCTGGGGGTCTGCAGAGTGGGCTCGGCCCTGGCCCCATCAACTCCATGGCAGCAGAGGGTTACAGAGAACAGAGAATGTGTGGGTCCTGCTCCTGACCAAGGTTTTCATTTTAGTAGCTCTGCTGTTTTGACCCTCTCTTCCAAGAAGAGTAGAAATCCTAAGCCAGGCCCAATCCACCAGGGAGCCTTGAAAGCGCTCCTGCCACTCGGCCTTGCCGGGCAGCACAGAGAGCATGACTCTTCCCTTCTTTTCCTTTCCCCGCAGCCTTGATCCCTCCTCCAGCCGCCCTTGACAAGCCCCCCAAAGTGGGAGAGAACTTCTGCAACCGTGGGCAGCATCCAAGAGCTGTCCTTCCAGCAGGATCTGGGGAAAGGGTGCGTGGCCCCGGCACTTTCCTTCGTCCGGTAGTGCTGCAGATTGGCTGGGGAGGCAGGGGCGGAGGTCCGCTCGGCTCTTGGGCTGCCAGTATGGAGCCTCCAGCCGCTGCCTGCCCCTTGAGCAGCCGGCCAAAGCTTGAGGCCGTAGGGGCTCTGCAGGCAAGCTGGGAGCAGCGGCATTCTTAGAGGGATTTTCCGCCTGTCCACTCTCCTGTTCCTGCCACGGAGAGGCAACACAGAACCCCTGGGCCCCCTCCCTTGCAATTTTTTGCCCACCCTGCAGGGCAGCGTCTCTGCCCCAAGGAGCAGCCGGCACACTCTTTGCGGCATAGCCCAGCCCGTTCAACGGAGACAGGAAGCAGCTGCTGCTCTAGGTCGGCTAGAGAGCTTGAACTTGGCTGGGCCGGGGGTCGCATCTGTCTCCAGAGCGAACATCTGGGGGAATCCATCGCCGACTTTTGGCTGCTCCCCCGCCCCCACATCCAGCAGCCTCAGCCTCAGGGCCCTCAGCTCTCAGAAGACTTTCCTACGTTGCCCTGGAAGGACGGGCTGGTCCTCCTTGGCTCCCAGCTCCCCTCTTTGGCTACAAGGGGCCCCAGTTCCACAGAGCTAGGGATTGTGGTGGCCTGGGAACTTGGAGGTACGTTCCCCTGCTTGAGTCGCCCCTCAGCCTTTTCTCTCCTTGCTGTCTTGTAGGCAGGCTGGGCCTCTCCAGCCGAAGCCTAAGGAAGGGCTATTTTCACTGAACTAGCTGTGCCAGCATGCGATGGTCTCTTCCCAGTGGGGATCCCCTGGTTCCCAGGCCCTGCAGCCCCCTGACTTCAGGACAACACCGAAACACCTTTTACACACCTTGAGGCACTCCTATTTGGTGCTAGAATCTGGGGGAAGCTCAACTTTTACCCTGGGTCAAAGGGAGTACTCACTGGTGTATGGTGGAGGTGGTGGGGCAGATAAAAGAAGGGACTGCCAGGCCCTGTTTGTGCCTCAGGTAACTGCAGGCAAGGAAAGATGGGAGGGAACAGCAACATCTAGCCACCTCCTCTGTTCTTTTTTTGGGGAGGAGGGGAGGACACCAAGTTGCCAAGGGCTGTGAGAAGGCCAGCCCTGAAGCTCCGGGGACCTTAGTCCTAATGGAATTAGGCTCATTCCACCTTCAGGTGTGCCGGGTGCCCTTTGCCCTGCTCCCACTTGGCAAGATCCAGCTCCTTTGAGTTCCCCTTGGCAGTGGGAGGAAGGTTGGCATTTCAGGGATAATGCCCCCAAAGCAGTTTTCTAAGGCTCCCTTTCACTTCCAGACACTTGACTCCTCCCCCCCCCCGCCACCTCGAGGTCTGGCCTTGAGGGGATGTTGTTTTCCTGGGATCTGGGGCTGGTTGCTGCCCCGCGGCCCACAGCAAGAAGGTTCCTCTGCATGGGCCATTTTGCCTTGCTTCAACTCCAGACCCGAGGTTCAAGGAGCCTGAAGCACCATTTGAAAGGGGCCGACCTATTCTGAGCCAGGGATGAAAAGGAACCTTACTCCAGAGGAGACCTGCCACTTTGCATCCTTAGTTGCCCTGGGGCAGGAGTTAAAGAATTGCGCATCTTCAGGACCCCTCCAACTGCTGCCTTTTTGGGATATGGGAAGGAAGAATAACAAACAAAAATGTCTTGTGATTCTTTTATATTTTGAAACTATTCCTTTTATTATTTTTTTCTTTATTCAGTCTTTGGAATCAGGAATGCGCTTGAACCAACTTATTTACTCTGAAATCAAGGGTGCACAAATTAGTTTCCCTTTACTTAACTGAAAGCCGGTGTCGTGGGTACATGAGTTCCTGCTGTGCATTTATAGGAAAACTGAGTCCAAGGAAAATAGGTACAGGTATCAAGGTCTACTTGATAGAATGAACATTTGAGCGCAGAATCTTGCTGCTACTTGGCCAATGTATGAATCTTAGAAAATCTACTCTGATTACTTCACAGACAATCAAAATTTTAATTCTAAATTGCGCAGAGTTTCTTCTACCAACGAATTATAGCTTATTAATAGAGGAATTTAAGTGCAAATTTGAGGAAAAGAGGGAGAGGGATGAGGAATGACTCCAGCCCAAAGCGAGCAAGAGTTTGTAATAATTGCCCCTTCGTAAAGCAGAGGTTGGCTGTAGCCAGGAAAAGTGACTCTTCCAACTTCGACAGCCTGTCCGCTCCAGTCTTGGTGGAGCGTTTGAAATGAAAGAAATGCAACATTTATGAGTTTGGGTCCCTTGAGGTCGTTAGAGCTAGAATGCAACTTTCGAGGTTTAAGAATCCCCATACTAGCTGGATTAAATGTTACAGCCTTCTTGAGATTGAAGATGGAAAGAACAATTCATTGAAAAAATGAAACCCACCAAATGGGAGGAGGAGGGACAGCTGGTTACCTTCACTCAACACATGGGGGTTGCTGATTTTTTGTTTTTTCCGATGTCTGCACAAGCACTGAATCTCAGTCTTACCAAACCTTTAATCACCAGAAACAAGGCACTGGTTAAGTGGGTTGTGTGAAAGGGTTCAGAAACCTTCCAATTTGCACCAAAAGAAGAAAATGGGTGCCGTCCTCCCTACTTCAACTCCCCCCCCCCCCCCCCCCCACCCCCGCTATC